ATTACTTTTTAATTTTTTTAATGCTTATTTATTTTTGAAAAGAGAGAGACAGAGTGCGAGCAGGGAAGAGCAGAGAGATAGGGACACACAGAATCTGAAGCAGGCTCCAGGCCCTGAGCTATCTGCACAGAGCCCAACGTGGGACTTGAAACTCACGAACCATGAGATCTGTGACCTGAGCCGAAGTCCAATGCCTTAATGGACTGAGCCACCCAGGTGCCCATAAATATTACTTTTTAAATGATTACACAGTAAACCTAAAATTTTTTGGTGTATAGTTCTATAAACTTTAATGCACGTATAAACTTTAAATCACTACCACCATAATCAAGATATGGAACATTTCTATCACTCCCCAAAACTCCCTCATGCTGTCACTCACTTATAGTCACCTTTTCCTCACCCACCATCCCTAGCAACTGCCTATCTGTTCTCTGCCTCCACAGTTTTATCTTTTGAAAATGCAGGAAAATATTTTAAGTCTAGATATATACGCTAAAGAATGTACTACAGCCTATTTAAAAATAACTGGTCTATCTAGAAATGGGTCAGTTGGTCCTGTCCACATTCTAAATAGCATTTCTAGTCACACAAAATATATTAATGAGTCCTGTTTCAGAAAGCAAAGAAATTTGTCACTAAGTAAGAATTAATTGGTCCTACTCACTTCTAGTTCAAAGGAGTATCTTACAAATACTGTTTTAACTATATTCATTGCCAGTTTGATTAGTTTTCTTTCAGCATCATTTTTTTCAAAACATTTCCTTTTTTTTTTCTGATTGACTCCTCTGCGCATACCTACCTATAGACAAACCAATCCATAAGCTCTAAATGTGTTTAGCTCTCTTCTCCAGTATCAGACTAATCTGCTTCCTGCCCAAACTCAAATACCTTGCTCCCTATCCCAATCACTTCTTCTATTCATTGTTGTTACCACTGCTTCTAGAGGAATGGGTTGCAACTACCAGTTCACAGATTGGATCTGGCCTAAAGACACAATTCATATGAATCTAATTAATCATTTTTTAAATGACAAAATAAAAAAGGGATTTCTAGTTTCTCTGAACACTGATAAGATCCAGCAATTGTAGGATCCTATTGCCACAAGACAAGAGTTTATTGAAATTGAAACTTGCATCTTTACATGGGCATGAGTTTTTCAGGTTACCACTCTCCCCTCCAAACCGTACATCCTGTACCAACTCACTTGATTCACTTCCACACTGTCCATCATTTTGGTTTGTAAATTCCCATTACAAATTCCCTGGGAGCAAAGAATTTCCAGGTCTTATTCATCAAATTTTAACACCTATCATATCGCTAGCACCAAATAGGCACTGAGTGAATAAATGCTACACGTTACTTAAAAAAACAAAAAAATTTTAATCTGTCATTTCTAGACCATCAGACGTTCCAGAAGAGGGCTGATTGGGCTGATGTTTTTAGACATCAGCAGTCAGAGTGCTACTTTTCTCTAGTGGAAGAGCCCAATCAGCACAAATTGTATTTAGGTTTTAAGGTTTTTCCTGAGGTTTCTTCCTAGTTTCCTAACAACTATAAGAAAGACACTAGTTAAGTCTTTTGTAAAAGAAAGTGTGGATACTCTGCTTTACGCGATTTGGCTTTCAAGTTTCCTAAGAATGCTCTATGTTCAGATAGTGGGGGGAATCCTGTATCTCTACCTCCAACTAGGCGCTTGACCTAGTTTCTTTATCTATAGGAATGAATTGAGATGGTAACTAGATTTACTGTGAACACTGTGTAGTACGTACAAAAATTGAATTATGCTGTACACCTGAAACTAATATTATTATATAACAATTTTACGTCAATTAAAAATATCAGTTTCCACAAATACAAATCAGAATCTAAATTACAAAAAAAAAAAAAAAAAAAAAAAAAAAAAAAAAAAAAAGAAAGAGAAGAAATTGAAATATACAATCTTTTCAAGTCATAAAACTATGTTCCAATCCCCGTGTTTTTCTGGGTTACTTTCATCATCTGTTCTAACTTAAAAGGATGTCTCTTTTGGATCCCCAAAATCCTTGAAAACCAAACAGGGCAGGACAGTAAAAGCTCACTTCTGAGTTCAGGACTGCCTTGGATCCCTGAAGGGGCCAAAAAGCCAACCTCTGCATAATCAAGTCTTTGTTTCCAAAGGATTCCATTCTCATCTTATCCTTCATATTCTAAATTTATTATTTAGATTGCTGCTTGCTAAATGGCAAAAACTGGATTTTCTCAATATATTCCATTTCTATTTATCTGTAACTCAAAACAAAGTCTTAATCAGAGAATGTATTTTAAAATTCTAAAAAATAATTATGCCTCCTTGTAATTATCTGATTTTTCTAAACATCTGCCTCAGTGTTTGGCTCTTCTTTTAATAACTAAGCAATTTTATTTCCTTCAGGATTCCTTCTATGCTCTTAAAATTCCAAAAAAACACATTTTTTTTAGTTATACTGCTACTACATTCCAGAAAGATCAAAACTATAAATATGATATGTACAATAATAAAAAAGTGAATGAAAACTCCTCAACTCTTAACTCTTAACACTTTAACTCTTAAGTGTTTGAACTAAACACAGTCGTCTACTACAGACAGAAAACGTTAAATTAAAAAGTAAGCGGGGCGCCTGGGTGGCTCAGTCGGACTTTGGCTCAGGTCATGATCTCGCGGTCCGTGAGCTTGAGCCCCGCGTTGGGCTCTATGCTGACCACTCGGAGCCTGGAGCCTGTTTTGGATTCTGTGTCTCCCTCTCTCTCTGACCCTCCCCCATTCATGCTCTGTCTCTCTCTGTCTCAAAAATAAATAAGTGCTAAAAAAAAAATTAAAAAAATAAAAAAAGTAAGCTATTTTTACAATTTCCTGGATATCAAAGTTCCAATTCCACAGAACAAACCGCTATTCAAAATAACAAATCAGTGTAAATAAAAAACCCAATGGCAGCACAATTCTGATCTTCCCATTGGGGAAGAGTTGTGGCCAAGAAAAGATAAAATTAACATGGCTCCTGAATGCATAATGGCATTCCTGGAATGATGTTTTATCAACCACTCTTATACTTAAAAGCACTAATTTGCCTAGTTAGTAATTTATTTTCCACAGCCTCTAAAATCTTGATTTCTCTTCTGAGGCTTTTCCATGTTAAGTAACACATCATTTCATTAGTCCTTCCTGGTGACATGAACAGTCCCAGTACCAAATGAAATGATGCACAAAAAGCAGTAAGGTGCTAATACAATGGACTCATAAAGTATTTCTAGGCAGAGAATTATCCAGAGAGCAGAAGCGGGACTCCAGAACGCTTGGAGACAAATCTGTTTAAGCTCAAAGCAATATCTCTCAACCATTTTTGGCCTCAAACCAACTAAGAAAAAGCATAATGATCATTTCATCAGTAGTAGTAGCTCACTCGCAAATTGAGGAGGTAGAAAGGGGGTCCCTGGGGCACCTGGTTGGCTCAGTCTGTTAGGTGTCCAGCTTCAGCTCAGGTCATAATCTCAAGGTTTGTGACTTCAAGCCCCACGTCAGGCTCTGTGCTGACAGCTCAGAGCCTGCAACCTGCTTCAGATTCTAGGTCTCCCTCTCTCTGCCCCTCCCCCTGCTCACACTCTGTCTAAATAAATAAATACATGTTAAAAAAAAGAAAGAAAAGGGGGTCCTTTATAGGGCCTATGGATACAGAGGGAGTGTGTAAGATTTCAAGAGATGAGTAGTGCAGTTGTGAATCCCTCCATCCTTCACACTCCCTAAATTTATTACACAACCCTTACACTTCCCTCACCACACAACTACCCCTGACATTTCCACTGTTAGGAATCCCTAAGTTAGTACTGGGAAGATGAGAGAAAGTTTAACTGCTTAAATCTCAAGAGAACCTCTGAAATCCGTCATCATTACCAGAATGAGGAATTCTGGTAATACCATATTCCTGATGTTGGTTATTCCTACTATTGATAATTTTACTTCTGTTTCCTAATTGTTAGGACAGCTTTAAAAAAAAAAATGAAAGAGAAAAGAAAGGAAAAGAGAAGGGAAGAGAAAAGAAAAGAAAAGAAAAGAAAAGAAAAGAAAAGAAAAGAAAAGAAAAGAAAAGAAAAGAAAACTTTCCAGGGACATGTATTTTACTCATGAAGAAATAGGGAAATTTTGTAGAACTTACACAAAATTGCTTACTGAATAAACTTCAAACTCTTATTAGCAATTCAAAAAAAAAATCTTACTAATTAGGTCACAACTTTTCTCTCATTTCCCAAACCCAGTCTCCACACCTGGTGTTGTGCATTCCAGAATTCCACTTATCCACCTCATGGAAGCTTATAATTCAACAGGGTCAACTGTTAAGCTGCAGTTTGTATCCTGACTCTCACAAGCAGTTAGTGGCTGGCAACCCTGAGCTCCCCTTAAATGTTCACTTCTCCCATCTCTGTGGGTTGGACTCTGCTTAATTCACAGGAGGCCCTCAGAACTCTGTCACTCAGCCAACTCATTAATGATGAATAAATTAACCCTATTCTATTCACCAGAAGGCTAGAAGAGGGCTCTTGGTATAAGAGTAGAGGCAGAAATGAACCAGAAAGCAAGGAACTAGAAATCTCAATCCAACAAAAGAGAAAAGGGAAATGTGAACCACAGGAATCAGGCTGGATTCATGCCTTCACACTAGCCAAACTTTAAAAAAAATGTGCATCTGTGTGTTAGTCAAGTGTCAGCAGCTCCCTAGGCTTGAGAGTTTTGTTTGCCATTACACAACAATGTTATTGGATGAGCTACCTCTCCCTGCTCATTGCCCAGTATTCATCAATTATGACTGCTCTGATGTAGTCATTCTGGCTCAAGCTCATTTTAGTAGAAAACTTAACCTCGGGTAATCTCCCCCCAAATCATCTCCAGTAAATTAAATTATGAGATTCCCTCCAACGTCACACCCTCTGTCAAAAGGATTCGTAAACGTAAAATAATCCTCACCGCGTAATAGTTTTAAATACACTACCTGAAAGAGTAACGATTCCCCTGGGTTGAGGCTGAAAGCGCAAATATTTGTTACAAAAGTCGGCAGACTCAAGGGCCAAAAACAAAACATTGCCCAAAAAGTAGCCCGCTGTCTGGCCCACTGAATTGCAAGTGGAAGCATAACCCACGTTTTCCCGGGATAACATAGTTAACGCCCAACCATCCACAGCGATGTCCTGAGTGGCGGCCAGGAATTCAAACAAAAAGAATGTCACAGTGAGAGCAATCACATCGGGGGTTCTGCCATCAGTGTTCCCGAGCAAATGGTCCACCTGAGTGGACAAATATATCATGAACAGTCCCAGTATATACTGTGTAGGGACAAGCCAAGATTTGCGACGACCAAAGTTCCTAAAGTAAACTGCATCAACCAACGGGGCCCAGAGCAATTTGAGACTGAAGGGCCAAAAGACGAAACTGAAGAAAGCTTGATCTGTATAGCTAACATTTTTGCTCTGCAAAATGAGTGGGATGCTTCCTGCCAGGCCCAGTGGAATGCCCTGAAGCACGTAAAGAAAAAGCAACAGCAAAATGCTGCTTAATTCCGCCCGGCAGCTCCGTGGGGGTTTTGAGAAGTCACCAGTGCCGGTATCCCGCAAAAGAGCTTCTTTGTCCCCTTCCCCACCCACCAATTCCGGATGGCTGTCCTCCCAGCCGCCTGGCGGCAGAGGACCGCTCTTCATATCCAGAGAGTGGTTGAAAGTCCCTGGGCGTCGTTGCCGACTGTTGTCCTTGTGGGAGATGGTGGGTGACATATCAGAGACGATGCAAAGCCCCGTCTGTGGGGTGCCGGGACTGAGCGTCTTGGATCCTCCTAGCCCCGGGTCCAAGGCTGTCGCTCTGGACCAGGGCCTCGATGGTTCAGGGAGGAGGACAGAGCGAGGGGCGATAAGGGCACTTCTTACAGTGGCCCCGAATACTGAACCCAGGAGCCAGTCCCCTGGCTGGAGACCCAGGCGATGCCCAGGTAGGTGGCCCTCGCAACGGCGTCAAGGTGCCTGAAGGAGTCCCCCCGGCATCCGCGCCGGGCTCGAGGCTGGAGGAGAGGGCCGTGGTGCCACGATGGAAACGGGCCCTTAGCTTCAGCGAGACCGAACGGCCAGTCTCCAGACCCACCTCCAGTCCTCGCCGCCACCACTGCAGCTGACAGCACTTTCTCTACAGGACTCCAGCGAGATCAGGTAACTTCCTGCGTTGAGCCTCAGGAAGTGGTCCTAGGCTCAAATGAGTCCTGTCCCCGCCTCCAGAGCAAGCCGATCAGGGCATGCTCCCGAGACCGAGTTCGGAAACAACCATTGGTAGGAACCCGGAACTCAGGCGATCGGGACCTCATGGGAGGATTAACGCTGGAGCACTTTGAGGCCTGGGCGGGGCGCAGCGCGCGCTCTGCTCTGTGAGCGCATGCGGCCGTCTGGAAAGCGTGGGCCTCGGTCATTGGGCCCGCGCGGCCACGTGAGTGAGGGCTGGTTGAGCCAGGCCTGCGCAGCCTGCCTCTGAAGTTGCCGCGGTTGCGCTGGGTCTTGTAATTAGGTGGGGGAAAGGCAATGCCCAAGCTTTGGGCCGGTAATTGTGTGGGGTCCTTGCTTTTGTGGGCTAGACAGAAACGGGTGGAGAACGGCTGAAGTTTACGAATGGCTTTATCAGCAGGCAAGGGTGCCCCAAAAAGGGTAATAAAAGGCCTGGCTAATGGAGAAGTTCGTGCCTGCATATTTATGGAATGATTGAAACTGCCCAGATGTGCTAGGTTTCTCTGTACTGCGTTTCTTCCAGTGCAGTGGAAGAAATGTAGTGGAACGGGGGCCAAATAATTAATTCGTTACATTGGGCAGGTTGGAATTATAAGATTCCATAACATCTTCCTTAATTTTGAGGGACCTAAAAGGTCTTATAAGAGCCAAATATTAAAATTTTGTTTCATGTTAACTCAATATGTATGCATTATTGAAATGATAAGGGAAAATAACCTTAGGGAACCAATAGCATTATTTGTAACGCATTGAAAATGCCTATAAAATCTTACATAAAATATTTACTTATGGTACATATTGTTTTCTATTGGGCAACTAATACTTAAAACAAAAATAACCTGTACTTTTAAAAAACGTACCTGGGGCGCCTGGGTGACTCAGTCGGTTGAGCGGCTGACTTCAGCTCAGGTCATGATTTCGCGGTCAGTGAGTTTGAGCCCCTTCTCGGGTTCTGTGCTGACAGCTCAGAGCCTGGAGCCTGTTTCAGATTCTGTGTCTCCCTCTCTCTGACCCTCCCCCGTTCATGCTCTGTCTCTCTCTGTCTCAAAAATAAACGTTAAAAAAAAAAAAACAAAAAACCTAACCTCAAACCATTTAAAAGATAAAACATGTTATTGCCCACCTCTCCCAAATATAGTTAAATGTTGCAATAACTTCTCCATCTCAAGATTATTTTTTTGTTGTTGTTTATTTATTTTGAGAGAGAGGGAGAGAGAATCCCAGGCAGGCTTGCACTGTCAGCGCAGTCCCATGCAGCGCCTGAATTCTCACGCACCCTGAGAACATGACGTTAGCTGAAACCAGGAGTTGCAGGCTTAACCGACTGAGCCACCCAGGCACCCCTCTATCTCAAAATTATTAAGAAAAAGGTTGGTTTCCTGAAGACTGACATTAAAATTTTAATACAAAAAGTTACACATTTGTTAAATGTAGCCTGTTTAGATAGGAAACCAAACTATACAAATATTACATTTCTGAAAACTAATTTCATGCAATGTTTCAAGAAAATTTTTGCAACTCTTTAAGGAATAGTTTATGAACTTAGATTCTTCAAAGAATGACTTCAAAGGTCAAGGAACTTGCTGAAATATTTTTTTTAAGTACATATGCATGGTACATAACTTGGATGATGGATTAATGTATTAGAAAGTTTAATACTAAGATATGTAAATAGAAGTTATTTCTAGTTCAAGACTCATGTTAGAAATTATTCATACTGTCTCCATCCACTTAAATATTGAAAAACAGCTTCTTCTGTATTCTTTACCCTAGGATCTCAGGGTAGTCATAATTAAATTCTATTCCATTTTTATTTATTTATTTTTAAAGCTTTTCTTTTCTTTCTTTCTTTTTTTTTTTTTTTTTTTTTTTTTTTTTAGAGTGGGGCAGAGGGTGAGAGAGAGAGAATCCTAGGTTCCACACTCAATGCAGAGCCCAGCTTGGGGCTTAATCCCATGACCCTGGTGATCATGACCCGAGCCAAAATCAAGAGTGTGAGGCTCAACAGACTGAGCCACCTAGATGCCCTGGATGTTTTCTTGTTTGTTTTTAAGTAAACTTCACATCTGACATGGGGCTTGAACTCAAGACCCTGTAATCAAGAGTCTCATGCTCTACTGACTGATCCAGCTAGGTGCCGCAAGCCAGAGCTTTATTCATTTTTTTTTTAACGTTTATTTATTTTTTTTAACGTTTATTTATGTTTGAGACAGAGACAGAGCATGAACGGGGGAGGGTCAGAGAGAGGGAGACACAGAATCTGAAACAGGCTCCAGGCTCTGAGCTGTCAGCACAGATCCTGACGCGGGGCTCGAACTCACAGACCGTGAGATCATGACCTGAGCCAAAGTCGGCTGCTTAACCGACTAAGCCACCCAGGCCCCCCCTTCCCCCATGCCAGAGCTTTAAATGTTACCGTATGGCTATCCAAAGCTGACATTCAGCTGATAATGCCGCATCAAAAAGAGACCAAATCCTTTTCAGTCAAGTGCTCTTCTATAGGAGCTGAGTTTTAACCAAAAACAGGTTGAGGTGAGGGATGGGTCAGAAAATTCTGATATGGAATATGGTCTGATCTTGGCTTAACTAAGGTATAAGAGACAATGTAATGTGATGCCAGATATTACACATAGTAAGTCAGGTGGTCATACGTAATACGTTCTCTGCATTTAAACCCTCAAGGCTTTTTAGAAGATCCATAAATAACAAACTGATTTCCTTTAACCTGATGTGGCAGTTTTATTTTAAAAATTTATTTTATTTTAATGCTTGTTTATTTTTGAGAGAGAGACAGAGCAAGAGCAGGACAGAGAGAGAGGGAGACACAGAATCCGAAGCAGGCTCCGGAGCTGTCAGCACAGAGCCTGATGTGGGGCTCGAACTCATGAACGGTGAGATCATGACCTGAGCCAAAGTTGGATGCTTAACTGACTGAGCCACCCTGGCGTCCCATAATGTGGCAGTTTTAAAACATAGCTTCCAAAGTCTTTATCATTTCTCTCTTTAAAAATTTTTTTTAATGTGGGGCACCTGGGTGGCTCAGTCGGTTAAGCGTCCGACTTCGGCTCAGGTCATGATCTCACAGTTTGTGAGTTCAAGCCCCGTGTCGGGCTCTGTGCTGACAGCTCAGAGCCTGGAGCCTGCTTCAGATTCTGTGTGTCCCTCTCTCTCTGACCCTCCCCTATTCACGCTCTGTCTCTTAATAATAAATAAATGTTAAAAAATTAAAAAAATTTTTTTTTAATGTTTATTTATTTTTGAGAGAGAGCGTGAGCGGGGAAGTGGCAGAGAGAGGGAGACATAGAATCAAAGCAGGCTCCACGCTATCAGTGCAAAGCCTAGTGTGGGGCTCAAACTCACAAGCCATGAGATCAAGACCTGGGCCTAAATCAGGTGCACAACTGACTGAGCCACCCAGGCGCCCTCGTTTCTTCCTTTGAGAGGTGGAGTCTGTGTCCTTTCCCTGGGATCTAGGCTCTCTGACCAATAGCATACAGCTGAGGTGATGCTGGACTAATTTCCAGGTCCAGGTCTTAAGAATCTGGCAATTCCCACTTCCTGCCTCTTGAGACAGTCTCTTTTGGAACTGAGTACCATGCATTAAGGGAAGAACTATCTGGACAGGACCTAAAGCCCATGGCTCTCAGTTGCTGGCTGAACTCCCAGTCAGCAACACCAACTTGGTTGCCATGTGTGTGACTTATCTAGGAAGTGAATCCTCCAGCCCCAAGTTAAGCTATGCTTGCTGATGCCAGTGGAGCAGAGACAAGTCTTTACTGCTAAGCCATGCCCAAATCGCTATTTCTTTCTCAGAAGACCTTGTGGTAGTCTTGTGGGACAGGCTGAGACACTCTTCTGCAAACCTGGACATGTTTCCCCACCAGGGTCTCAGTGTACCTCAGCAAATGTGGACCAGCCCTCACTATGAAAACAAGACTGATGCTGCATGGGAACTTTAGCCTGTACTGTGATGCATAGCTATTCTTTTTGCATACTCAGTGCTCAGTACTCACTCACTTCTGGTAATGTCATTCTTTTTCCTGGTCTACCCTGATCGGGGTGTTCTGGTAAAGCTGGCGAAACTGCCCAACACAAACCCTCCTGATGGTAGCCACGGTCCCTTCTTGCTTTCAACTGCTCCACTCCCTACTTTGCCCTTCTCCACTGCACATGCTTGAATGACCAGAGAGTGAACACAGGGCTCATTCTGGTCCTATCAGAGTCCACTGTATAGATTTGTTACAATTTCTAGCCAGTCTCAAATTGATGATACTTTCTATTTAGGTTCTTTCTAGTTTGATGATTTGTTTTCACTATCCCCTTCCAAATTATTTATATATATGTACAATATAATAATATATCTAATATATAGGATTTACACACAGTACGATAATAATATATACACATACATGTATATATTTTAGAAGTAAAATTTCTGGGTGAAAATGTATTTTTAAAATGTGATAAAGGAGCACCTGGGTGGTTCAGTCAGTTAAGCATCTGACTTT